AGAGAGAGAGAGAGAGAGAGAGAGAGAGAGAGAGAGAGAGAGAGAGAAGAGGAAAAGATATACGCGCGTATGTACAGAGCCGTAAGCGGGTTATTCAGTCGGTCAGACGAGAAGGCTAATGACCTAGATGGAGGTTCACGGACGGAGAGAAGATAGAATGACGCGTTGCGAGGGGGAGGAGGCGCGGGAGAGAGAGAGCGGATCGCCCGGGTGGGAGACTAGGAAGAGGAAGGAAACGGGGTCACTGTGTCGACTAAGGTAGGAAAGCGGACCGCGGCTGCTATTGGTCCACCAGGTTTCCCCCTCGGTGCTTCGCGTGCATCAAGGTTAGTGTGTCATTGCCTCCACGTGGTTGCTTTCCTTCCACTTCCTACGCGGGCCCCAGCCGCGCACAGGTACACGACCTTCGTGGTGGGAGCCGGAATAACGGTATCGGTTGTGATTATGTCGGCTCGTGGAGTGGGACGGCAAATGCAGGTATATATGGACTGTTGGAGAGGACAGCACCGTCGAGGCGCGACGAGCACGATGAGGAACGGCAGGCATCTGATCGGCCGACGCCGATGAGGACGCCTCACCTCGGCACACCTTGCCGCTTACGAACGTCTCCACGTTGCGTGAAAATTCTCAAATATAATTTCGCGTTCATGGATCTGGACCTGGACCTGGGTATCGTCTGAAATTAAGACGATAAGCAGGCTTCTCGAATGTTCAATGTTTCAATTGTTGTCAATGAACTCACTCTCATTAGCTCATCAATAGGAGTGAGTTCATTCATACGCAAAGTCTTTAAAAGTTGTGAAGAGACTTTATACCACGTAACCTTAAGGAGTAGTAGAATTTTAGGGGATTTTAATAATGCTAAAAAAAATTATCTTCTACACTACTATTTTATTAGTTTACTATAAAAAACTATCCATCATATAAAAATAATATTAAGGTATTGATAGAATAAATATTTTCACAGTTTTTCGAAAATATCGTCAAGTTTTGAATTTTTTAATATGGTATCGCTTAGATATCAAATTTGAAAAGAACAGAGGCTTAACGCAAGGAAGAAGCGTCCGTTTTCTCCTCGAATTTGAAAAATGGACGCGAGGATGTCCCTCGCGTGTTTTGCCTTGGAGATGACGGAGGACGCAGTATTCTCATCAGTAACGATGAATTAATTCACTCCTCGACGTGATTCAATCGACAACAATCGGCACGATTCGCAAAGCGTGCTGCGCGACGTAACACGGGCGACAGGATCGCGCGATTCTGACAAATCGGTTGTTTGCCAGACGTTATAAAGTATATACTGTTATAAAGTATTGTTATAAAGATAAAAATACAGATAGTTGCCGTGAAAAATTCAAATTATTAATAATTTAATAAAATAAAATAGAGTAAAATCTACTTTATTATATTAGATACGATATTTTAAGATAAATTTTATAAAAATAACAATTAAGAATTGTTACAAAAATAAAGATACAAACAGTCGCCGTAAAAAATAGTAACATTTGAAATTCAAATTACTTACTCGCCAGGCGAGGAATTCGCAGAATTTACTCGCAGAATAACGTTCACTTGGCGCAGTCGTGAATAAAAAGAAAATGCGAAAGTACAAATGCATGCGATGCTTTTCGAGTACGCAACGGACGTGCGGTCTCGAATTAACGAGGTCTATGCAATCACTCGGCCGGCACCAGAGGTATCAGCGCTAGTAATGCCGCCTCTCTTTCTTCTCGCCTTCTTGTTTTGCACCTTGACGCATATATCCTGTACTACCTATGCACTACATGCTCGCGTCTTGCACCTATCCCGAATAAATTTGACACGTTCTTTCAAGATAATCTCGAAGAAGTTGGCGTTTTTAGAGGCGGATATACATTCGAAAGAGAAACGCGTGAGTCTTGTGTCACATATAGCCGGATATACTATTTTAATTCCTGGTGCCTTGCAGAGTTTCGCGTGACGTTAAGTAGTTTGTTCTCTCAGATGCGGTCAATTAAGTGAAAAGAATCCGTTGCCAGCAGACGGCTATAGACCGCGATTTCTCATAAAATGTGTTATATTGTTACTGCTAATTGAGTCGGCATGTGCAAAGTGGAATTCCAGAATTCTCGAAAACCATCACACAGATTGGTACTTGAAGTGCTAAACGCAAAGGGCTAAACGATTAATTAATAGAATAGAACAGAATAGAATACTCTTTGTTATGTTCCAGTAAATCTTGTAAAAGCGATAATAAAGTATTGTTATAAAGATAAAGATACAGACAGCTGCCGTGAAAAATAGGAACATTTAAAATTTAAATTACCAATGATTTAATAAAATAAAATAGAACAGAATCTACTTTATTATACTCTAGGATAAATTTTATAAGAACAACAATTAAGAATTTAAAAAATAGTTAAGGTAATCGTCGTAAAAAATAGAAACATTTGAAATTCAAATTATTAATTAATAATCTAAAATTGATTGATTAACTGAATAGAATAGATTATTAGTAATCTCTAAGACACTGATTAATTAACATAATAGAATAGAATAGAATAGAATAGAATAGAATAGAATAGAATAGAATAGAATAGAATAGAATTTGCTTTATTGTACTTCAAGATAAGAATTGTTGTAAGAGCAACAATTAAGAACTTTCACAAAAATAAAGGCGGAGACAGTTTTTGAGAAAAATGAGGCAAAAAATTACTATCCAAATAATCAATAATCTAAAGCTGATCAATTATTGATGTACAATTACTGATAATGATAAGCCTGATTTTAAACCGATACGATTATTGATAATCTGGGATCAAAGAACGACAAATCAGACTTTCTCCACACTAAGAGAAATTATGAATCATGAATGAAATTACGAATTGTTGAAATGCCATTATGATCAATAGTATCTGATTAAATTTAATCGGATATAAAAATTGATCGGAATTTGACCGGAAATATCCGTTTGTTAATTTTTTATCGGGTAATTTCTCTCATTATACCATTATGCCGGAATGCCGAGAGAAAATGCGAATTTTCCTCCGGTGAAGGAGCGACGGTGCCGCGCGAAATGTCGTAATAATTTATATATCCGCGCGGACGCGCGTCGAAGTAGGGAAGGACAACGATCGGTTTCCCGGAAGAGAGCCGGCCGTCCGTGAAAATTGTGGAGATACCGTTTGTTGACGGACAATATGGTAAACAACGTTCCAGACGCACGGCAATTCCGAGCTTTCCAAGGCGAACTATTTCCCGTCGCGTATACTCTTCTAAATTCCTAACAGTATACCGACGTCGACGTCCCGGCCATTTTGGTATATAAGAATCGCGATTCGCCAGGCCGAAATTATGGGTGCGCTCTCCTCGCCGATTCAGCGCGTGAACATTCTCTGAATTGTCGCAAATTGTCGAGTAAACGCGAGCGACTTTCTTGAAACAACGAGTTCTCGATTTCGACTGCAAGTGGGGTAACTTTGCGGCCTGCGCGTGATTCCGCCCACTCGCGCTCGCATTTGCGAATGGGCGCCGTCGTCCTTAGAATGCTCGAACGCACAGCCGAATGTTGGCAAGAGCTGGTTTCTCGATTTGGCATGAAGAGACACGAAAAACTGTTACTGAAAAAAATATTATTAAATCAGTTAAGAGACATTTAAATAATTTTGAGTGATTTTTTATCTCACTCGATTCTTTTTAATTAATCTGAAAGAAATGTACTAAGAGTATATTAAGATATTGGAATTTGTATGAAGGCTCTCAGACATTCAATCAATAAGAGCCGATAAGAGTCACGCATGCGCATTGATTTATTTCCATTATCTTTTCGCAATAAGTTAATCAATTTCAATCGCCAATCCGTGTGGTTCTTATTTCTTGCTTATTTCATTAAAATATCACTTTATTACCATTCAAGTATCAAAGATATCACGACTGCTGCATCGCGAATGCCATCGGCTTGTATAAGCCGCGAAATCAGGCGACACGATTTTTCATCGAATGTCCCAAATACCGCAAAGCATTGATCGACATCAATCGTTAACTGGCAGTAACACATGTAACACCGATCTCCCTAAGGCTTCGCAAAAAACAGTAAGCGCAGATTATGTAGCTGTCCCGACCGACATTGAGTGAGGTTCGGAAAAACCAAACGCGACAAATTGAAGCGCTAGAATTTAGCGTGAGTAGACTACGAAGTGATCTATTCCATCCTATTAATCGATCTATCTTAGATTACTGGTAGATAACTTGAATTTCAAATGTTCCTATTATATTACAATAATTATTTGTACCTATATTTTTGTGTGTTCTTAATTGTTGCTCTCACAGGATTTCTAAGGGGTAAAATAAATTAAATTCTATTCTATTTTATTCTATTAATCAATTAGTTTTAGATTGCTGGTAATTTGAATTTCAAATATTCCTATATTTTTACAACAACTGTTTGTATCTATATTTTTGTAACATTTCTTAATTGTTCCTCTCACAGGATTTCTTATAGAGCTTAATAAATTTTATTCTATTCTACTCTATTCTATTAATCAATTAGTCTTATGTTACTGGTAATTTTAATTTCAAATTTCTATTTCTTTACAATTATTATTTATATCTATATTTTTGTAACAGTTTTTCACTCTCACAGGATTTATCCTCTAGAGTGTAATAAATCAAATTCCACTCTATTTTATTCTATTTCATTCTTATTAATCAATCAGTATTAATCAATCAGCTTTAGATCGCTGGAGTAATTTGGATATCAATTATTCCCCATCAATTATCATGTTGTCCTCTCTCTCCTTGTCTGTCACAATTGTCAATGTCATTCGCGTCAAGGACGAGTCACGAAATACCATTCAGGGTCGCGGCGACCCGTCCCTATCGCCGTTGACGTTGAGGATCGTGGGATTCGCAGCCGACGCCCACTATCTCGCCTCTGTCGCGAGCGGCTTCGCGACAATCGAACAAGAGCAACGCGACGCGCCCGAGATCGCGCGATTATTAACGAAAGGAAGGCAGCGCGCGAAAAGGAAGCAGCAAGTCGCGAAATGGATGCCTCGGGAAGAAGGCTAGTCGACTCTCCGAGTCGGCACACCTGTTCTGCAACGCGTTGCATCTAAACGTGCACGAATCCCGCCGTGTATTTGTGTGTGCGTGCGTGTGTGTTTACGAGTGTTACGCGCGACACAAACACGTGAGCACGCGTCGCTGCGATAAGATCCCATCGAGTTGCCTCGTGAAAATCGACTGCGTACTTTCACATCAGCAGATCCGTCTGAGGCGCCGTTGCTCGAGCGTGGCGCGCGAAAATCGGATCTCCTACGAGCTAAACTGGGCTGATTTAAAGTAGGACTGCCGTCTCGTTTCGCCTCGCCCGCGATAATAATTTTCACGACGACACACGCCTAGCCGGCGTGTGCCAGCCGACTGGCCGGCTGGTCGCCGCCAAAGTGACGAACTTTTCAATTTGCGGCTCTCGAATGCGATTTACGAACCGCGCACATTTTGTCCGGTCGCCCGCTTGGTTTCGCTCTTGAAACCGAAAGTGGTGTCGCCGACGAGCGGCGACGAAGAGCAATCGTCGGCCGCGCGATTAAGTCATGTGTTTCGGAAGATCGGCCGGTTCCGTCAAGGCTCTCCCTCGCGGGGCCATTGTCCATGGCTGTGCCGCAATTGACGCGCGCGTTTCACCCTCGTGAAACCGCGCCGGCCTTCTCCTGATAACGCGCCGCGGCGATTTTCTAGGCCAACCAGATCCATAAAATTAGAGCGCTTTGTACTACATGTCCCACATATTATAGCTTTTACATCGCAGCACGAATCTCGCGGGGGGTACCCGCTGCTTGAAGATGATCGAATGTAAAGATCATTCGCCCGTGTGCAAGAATGTAACTGCGCGTGAAATCGACGCGATGCTCTGAAAAATGACCGAATGGGGAGAGATAATCTTTCTGATAGTAAAATAATCGTGCGTGCACGATGGAAAATAGATTGCCGAATGAGCTCGATAGCCGTGTGAAATTTACCTCGCGTCGTCGTTGCGCGATCTCTCACATTTTCGTAGCGCGATGCACGAAAAAAAAGTACAAAAACGAAACGCCCCGCTCGCGCGATACCTACAAACCTACAAATGGCGATAATACGGTGAAATTCTTCATGGATCATAACATCCGCGAATGGGGAGCGGGGGGCGGCAGTGATACGCACTCAAGACGACGAAAACGAAGAAAGGAACGGAGTGATTGAATAAGGGGACCGATCGCGCCTATGCGTGTTAACCGTAACGCGGCCGTTAACGCAGACCCGAAGAAGGCGCGACACGAGAGCCTTCGCTCTCATTCATCATCTCCCGCGGCCGTTCATTGCCGCGCACTTTTTTCCCCGCAAATTTGACTCAGATTCGAATTCTCCGCTCTATTTGACGCTCCCTCTCGCCGCAGCAGCGGCTGTTGCCGCCGCCGCCGCTGCCGCCGCCGCCGTTGGACGGCTGCGAGAGGCCGCCCTGCCTCCTCTTCGGCGTCCGCAAAGAAGAGAGTTCCGTCGCCGGTGCTCTCGACTACGGAGAATGTATGGAACGACCGAAAGGCAAAAAGGAAAAAGGACTACCCGGTGACTCGCTCTATATATACTGCAAGTATCCGAGGGTATGCCCAGTGCACGATACGCGTCTCGTCCGTCAGCTTCTGGCTGGGTCCTTCGTCTTCGAGGATATCGTCGCGCTGCTGGCGATCCGTAGGTCCCGGGACGGAGAATCAGTAAACAGACCCGCACGAGTCCTGCCTCGCTGACGACTGTCTGTCTGTCCGTCTGTCTTCCTTTGTCTCTGTCCGGATATCTGAAAACTCGCGATGAGAGGAATTACGAACGTCGTCGTCCGGTCGTCACGTTGCCACCGGCTCCTACTGGTCCTCCTACTGTCGGCATGCGCCAGCGCGGAAATCGAGAGACGCACCTCGAGGCAGATGGTGGAGGAGGCGCCGGAGAATCTGGCGCCGAATCTGAACAAGGACTGCGGCAAGTCGTACAGTGCCACGTGCCTCAAGCTGGACGTGGTGTCCTTCTTGGATAAACTGTCGGAGCAGGAGGACATCGGTATCCTGCCGGGTGTATCTGTGATCAAGGAGAACGGCTCCGCCGACGTCCCGACGTCGGAGGTGGTCGCCAATCTTGCGAGGGACTTCCCGAACGACGTCGAGAAGAGGCTGGACGCGTACCTGGTCCACAAGGTCGGCAGCTACCTCAACAGCCACTCGATCTCCATCAAGCTCTTCGATCCGAAGACCTTCGAGGCCGCTAGAAGCTTCAACGAGGAGACGCTCGCGCAACTCGGCTTGGGCGGCAACCAAAATGTCGAGACAGGTTAGAAGATTAGACTCCGGTCGGGGATTTTAATTCCTTAGTCGCTTTTTATCTTTAATCAGGAATAATGAGGAAGTTGTGTATGAGTCCTTAAATTCAATCGAGTAATTCTAAATTCGCGAGTTTTAGTCGAGTGAGAACTTAAAAAATCAGTCGATTTAGTTTGTCAAGATCACTTCAAAGCGTTTTTGTCGAGAACGCTCAGCAAGGGAGAAGTAAGAAACAAAATTATATAAAATTATATATAAAGAAATGATCTAACCGCTTGGGTTATTTAATATGTACTTGATATTAGATCTTCGCGTTCAGAAACACCAATTGAGCCTCGAATGTTCGACAGGACGTAAGAAAGACAAAGGCGGCCACGGCGCCCTGATGGCCGGCCTGATGATGATGAAGGGAACTTTGGGCGCGGTGGGATTCGGCGCGCTGGCCCTCCTGGCCGGAAAAGCCCTGATGACCGGTCTGATGGCGCTCATGCTGTCCGCGATCATCGGGCTGAAGTCGTTGGCGAGCCATGGCGACAAGAAGACCACATACGAGATCGTCAGCAAGCCCGTGTACTCCAGCTCGCACACGCACAGCTCGGAGGAGCACCACGGCCACGGATACGGGCACTCCGGATACGGCAGGTCCCTGGACTCCGTGCACGACTCCCTGCAGCAGGCCGTGCTCAAGTACGGCAACGCGCGCGATCGCAGATCGATCTTGCAGAATTAATCGATTAATCCGATCATCTGACCCGGCCGAGATGGGTTCTCGCGCGAGCGCGACCTCGCCGGCACACGACGCAATTCGTTAGCACACATCTCTACCTCACCGAATTTTCCCGCTCTGTCCTCCCTTCAGCCTCTTCATGCACTGTCGCTGTCATCTGTACTCTTTCTCTCTTTTTTCTTTCTCTTCTTCCTCCCCCTCACATTCTTTCGCCCTCATCTCGCTCTGCGCCACACTTCGTTTCATTCCATTTCATTCCGATTTTCTCCCGTCATCAAGGTACCAACCCTCGCTCAGTCTCATCTCATCGCTCCCTCTCCACGAGAGTAATCGCCCTTATTATTATTTATAGTTACTTAGGCGTATTTATTGCGGCCGTCGTTGCGTTCTCGATCGGCCCCAGACCGCCGAGAGGAGCTCGTATCATCGCCGCCCGCGCGAATTCACCAAGATCATGTACATGATTTTTGAATATTTATTTCGTTATTGTAAAGTTGTGTAATAAAAGAACACGTTTGTAAAAACCCTAACGCATACACCGTCATTACTCCGCGACGATTCGCGACGGTTGAGAGCGGTTTCTTACCTTACGTCGTTTTGGACACGGTCTCTCGGATTTGTTAGTTTTTATCAAGAAAATTGTACGTTGTCGACTGTTTTCCGACCAGCTGGCGTGAATGCCTGCAGCCTGCAGAAGCGCGCATCACGCGCTGAAAAGCCCGCGCGTACTCGCCGTCACGGCAATTTAATCCGCGCGGTTAAACGTAGATATCTCCGAGAAGGTGAATGTACGAACCAATTAGGAAGTAACAAGGCCGGCACCTTCACCGACGCTGGACCGTCGATCGGACTACCCCACTGCACGGTCGGGATCGTCGTTTCTGCGCAGGAACACGGTGTGTTGCAACTGCGAAGGCGCGCATTACTGTACAATATCGTACAATATCGTACACGTTGCATCTTAAGAAACGCCGAAGATAATTTAAGTATTATTTAGATACGTCTTTTTTACAACATATTAATCATATTCTGAATATTATTGAAACAAGGCTCGTCCTTCACAGACAATATATTTCGTAATCTGTCAAGCATAATCAAGCATCTATACCTTTTATGGCTTTCCATAAAATAAGCACTATTATTACTCAAATAAACGATTAAAAGCTATAACATTAAAATCGAAATACTATAAGAAACAAGAATATGAAGATAGTGAGATCTAAAATGTCGATAGGTGCATGTGGCTTTAACATCTGCTTTTATGGACCATTCATTTCAGTTATATTGCGAATAATATGGCTGAAGATGACTATGAAATAAGATAACGGTCTTAATTATGAGTCATTTAAGATTAGAGTAACTTTCAATTATTTATACAGATTCCAATCGAACATTAAAACAAACTTTTAATACCGATACAAGCAACTAACACATCATAGTTTAAAAAGCAGAATTATTGGACTCATTGATTTATTTTAAAGTATAAAATTGATTTGTTTTAAATTAATTATTAATTAAAATAATTAATTATTAAATTAATTATTTTAAAAAAGAATAATTAGGAATATTTATGCCCAAGTCCCATTATGAGCAAATATTATGCGCTTTATAATGGGCTATACAATATTTAATTTTATATCAATAATATCCATATTGTGTGTACTTTAGTCTCTATATAGAATAATGATATATATGGCTCCCTCTTTCTTTTCCTATCTCTCTCTTTCCAGCGCTTTCATAAATCTAAAGAGTCGGTAAAATAACTGACATAGAATTGAGAATTTTTTTAAATATTGAGAATGTTTATGAATGTAACCTTAGAATATAATTGTATAAAAACTGTGATATATATATATGAAACAATTTTTTTCGTATTTTAATTATAATGTGTACTTTTTAATACATTAACAAACCAAGTTTGACTCTGAATTGAGACTTGATCCATAATTGCGACTGTTACGTAAATATATTGTAATATGTGACTGTTTTGGTAAATATATTTTGGTCAAAATATTTTGCTACTCTAATTGTATTTACGTGTACACCAAACAATTTCTGTTGAAAAATATACACCTAATTTCGGCAATTTGACTTTCATTGTTCTTCTTGTGTTCTATGTATTTCGATTTTAATTTTAGAACCTTCAACCATTGATTCAAATAATAATAATATTTCTTCTATTGGAAGCCATAAGAAAAATTACAACACAGATGTTGACTATGCTTGGTAAATTTTTATATTTTTGTTAATTCTTGTGGATTATTTTCTTTTTCACTTTTGCTTCTCTCTTATGTTCTTGTAAATCCTCGTAGTCTTCGTATTTTGATTTCAATTTTAAAGACTTTGATCATTTATTCAAATAATAATAATGATTATTTTATTGGCAGTCGCGAGAAATTACAATAGAGATGCCCGATTATGTCTGACAAATTCTCATATTTTTGTTACACCCTTACATCCTCGAAGATCTCTATATCTTTGTGTTTGTGTTTTACAAGCGTGTAATCCAGAATTCTCTGCTCTAAAAATAACAACCGTCATCTGTAATACTGCAGTTAACTCGGTTGCAACAGGATACATTCTTCATTTTTCCTGACCTTAATTAATCAAGGAAGCGGATATATTTGCACGCAGTCGAGGTTAGACGGTCTCATCCCGGCAAAAATTACATATTTGTGATCCACTTTAATGCATCTGACGTCGACATCTAATCGAGATCTAATGTCTAAAGAACAAGCAAAATGCATAATCATATTTTTCAAATCCCACCTGACGGTGGGATTGGTTGATTCGCAAGCGGCTGAGAGACTTGGTCTCTCAAATTTCCTCGGAAGCGTGTCAGCGCATCGCACAAAGCGGCTTACAGCATCCGCAAGGCGTTTCGAAGAAGCATTCAACGCGCCGTGCGATTGCGGCTGAGACTCGACGAAAGACTCCAGATCCGCTTTCCTGCGGGTTCATCGTTAGATGACGTTCCTCTGCGAATAATGACAATCGTGACGAGACGCCGGGCGGATACCGCGAATGACATAAATCTCGGTGTATATAAACGATATCGCGATGACCCGGGGATCAGTTAGTGTCAGCCGATAATTCTTAGCCGAAGTTGTCAGTGTCTCGCGAGGACCATCATTCTCGCGCGTCCTAATGTTCGCCCTTTTCCTGCTGATCGCGTGCGCAATCCACGCGAACGCGCACGAGAGAAACGGCCGAGTCGTCAAGGATTACGGCGCGGAGGTCCACAAGGTGGGACTGGAGCGTCGGATATTCAACTTGAAGAGGAACGGCGTCAACATCGACGTGAAGGTGGTCCCGTCAGTCAAGGACGAGTCGGGTGACAGCAAGGACGACGACGAGAACGACTACTTCCCGGAGTTTCCCGTTAAGGACATCGGCCGATGCATCATCGAGTTCTCGTTGGGCTGCATCAGAAAGCGTTTCGTCCGTTTTCTGGAGACAGTGGGTCGCCTCGATGAGATCACGCTGCTCGGACAGGACGTGAAGCTGGTGAGGAGCAGAATCGCGCGCTCCGACGGTCGGGCTGCGAGGAATGACTCGGACGTCAGTATCGAGCGCAGCGTGGACGATTTATTCGATTCCTTCACTCTGCGTATCACGCTGCCCCGGTGGAACAGCAAGCGGGAGAAGAATCAGATCGACGTGATGTTGGATGACACCGCCGTGGCAGAAGGTAAGCGCGAACGGAACCAGCGCGCAATACAAATGCTGAGAGACGTCACGAAGCTTTCGGACGTCTCTTGCACTGAAAAAACAGAAACACTGCGTTCAAGCAGAGTATTCACTTTATCCACACAAGTAAGATAAGCACACCAATACTCCTCAGCAAATAGTTATTAGAAATGGAAGTATATTTGACTACATTCAATGTGATATTTTTATCGTACAATGAAACATTTATTGTGTGAAATTTAATATTAATTTTACAGAGGACATATGTGTTTTCAAAATGAAGAAACCTTACTTTTTGGTTCAGTAATATTTTATCAGTTGACTAAATAATATCGCATTGTTAAATAAAAACAAATCTTTTTTAATGTAAGGAATGTGCAGATATTTTAATTGAGATAAAATTTATCAATTCTTATTATTGAATTAACTCTTTAAGAATAATTAATCTTAAAAGAATAATTAACTTCTTTCTTTTTCTTAAAAAATTAGTCCTTAAAAGTTTAAGTGGAACGAAACGCGATTCTAGTCGTACTCTTTAAATCAATGTTTTATATAGTAATGTTATATTTTATTTAAATATATTTCTGTAAATATATAGGAATATATTTCTGTGAGCGTTTTTCTATAAATAAAAACACATTTCTATAAATATCTTAATAAAAATATGTTTCTATGTTTACATACATTTCTATAAATAAAAATACACAGAAATTTTTATTTTTTTATTTACTGAAATATATATTTTTATCGAATATAATATTAACGTGTGTGTAAAAAATTAGTTTAATTAATATATTCTATAAATATACTTTTATATCAATGTGTTATATTAGTTAATTATTAGAATATTGAAGTCATTGGGAAAACTATAGAATACCATTGTAAAGTAATCCAATTTTTACGAATTGAAAGAAACGTCGAAGATAATTCAAACTACAAAAGATTAAAAAATTATCGTTCTTCACTTTGTGAATTTACTAAATACAACTTACTACAGGACGAGGAAAGAAAGGAGGAGGCGGTGGCAAAGGCAAAGGCGGCAAGTGCAAGATGATGATGATGGGCATGCTGATGATGGTCAAGATGAAGCTGATGGGTAATGTCACACGTTCGCCTCAAGTGTCATTTCAAGTTTGCCATTTGAAACGCGCGATTGCATTATCCAAATGCATTGCTGCATCACATACTGCAGCTGCGTTCGGCATTGTAAATCGAAGACGTCGGATTGTTCTTTCATCTCGAAGATGCATAGAAATGAAAAAGATACGAGATCTCGTATCTCTCTCATTTTTGTGCATTTTCGAAGTAAAAGAGCAATCCGACATCTTCGATTTACAATGCCGAATGTAGCTTGTATCGCATACTAAATTTCCAACGACGAAGGATAATCGAGTGTTTGATATAATACAGGTTTGGCGGCGATGAAAGGTATAATGATGGGCGGCATGTCTTTGATGCTGTCCATGATGATGTTGTCGCAGAAATTTGGCAAAGGCGGTGGTCCTTGGCAAAGCGGCGGTGGAGGAGGAGGAGGTACGTCCATTTCGATCTTTCTCTTCTTCAATTTTCTGTCTATGACATTTACAACTGAACTATAAATGCGATTAACACGTTGACAATGTTGAAGGTTATTAATCGATTAAAACTTAGTTGACTGAAATACTGAACAAATTGATAATTCCAGTTAATCAATCGGCATAAAATCGCGAAAAACTTAATCGATCGAAGAGATTGATTATCAATCAATCTTTGATTTGATTGGTTACGTACTGAGTAATAATTAATTTCATCAATTGATTAAATTATTCGTGAGTAAATATATGACGGTTGATTTATTTTGATTATTGGATTACCGATAATTTTAATCAAAGGACATTTTAATCGATTAATATCCATTAGAAATATTATAGCATCGTTCACAGATGGGGCCACTTATGTGCTCCTGTTCGGTGACTTATTACGAAATCTTGGTAACGATTACACGTTGCACTTCGTCTCCAGGTCAGCTGAAGGAAATTGTTCTCCTCACAAAATCCTCAGGCGGCGGTAGCGGTGGTGGTGGCGGTTGCTGCGGCGGCGGGCTTAGCGATAGTTACAGCGCACCACCGCCAAGCAGTTATGGTACCCCTTCAGGAGGAGGGGGAGGGGGAGGCTACAATGGTGGTGGTGGATGGGGTCGCAGCTTCCACAGGCAATCGATGACATTGTCGCACGACAAAGTAATCAAGACGGAAAATGGACCTGATCGCGCGCCAATGATGGGCGAGGTCATCGCAAACGCGGAGAACATCGATTATCCGGACTATCAGGACTATCAGGAAGTACCCACGATCGCGATGTCGAACTCTACGGTTTTCAATTGGAGCAAGATGAACGACATCGCCTTTCAAGAGCACAAAGCGATTGATTTGAATCTGGGGAAGAATAATAACTCAAAAATAGAGTCTACGGTGATTGCAACAGGCAGAAGTCTCGTCCTTAGTGGCGATTTACCTGCCAATGTTGTTGGTGTAATTCGGAAGGATCCAGTATCGAGTGAACTCGACGTTAATCGCGACAAAAATATGTTGCATCCGATATACGCGGACGAGTGGCAAGCTACGGCTGAGAAAACAACTTCTGATAATGCGGCGCCCTTGAATTCGAACGTGAGATTCGAATCGCCACGAGATCCGCGTGTTAAGGATATACCTTTGCTGCGTGGCATTTAGTCGGGCAATAATTACACAAAGCTTGATCTGGCTTCTGTGTTGGTGTCGCATACTTCGTGAATTTATTTCGATGTAAAAAAGTATGTGAATATAATCCCATGTAAAAAAAAACATATAAATAATCTTATCTTTAGCAAGTGTTTATATGTGGCCTCAAGAGTATTCTTCTAAAATCAAAAGGGAAATATTATAAGCGCAATATTTTTAAAGTTAGCACACAATTTCACCTTTTAGCTACAGTACAATATTATGTTCTAAAAATTATTATGTTGTTAAAAATGTTAGAATAGAATGTTCCCAATTAATAATCCACTTTACTAGAAGAGAAATACTTTTCCGGTAAAAATTTGTTTAAAATATGGGATTACACAGGAAACAGCTCATTGCAACTAAAGTCCTTATTTTTGGGTATTAGAATATTTTCCTATTGGTTTCAGAAGAATCTTCTTGAGACCATAAAAAGAATTTCGCGAAAACCATTTCGCGAAGGATGAGATTATATGTTTCTAGGCGTGGGGAAACAAACCCATGAAGGACACGACATTAGTTCGGAAATCAAATCAAGAGTTACACAAAGTATTTTCGTTGTATACGTATTTATAAAAATAAAATATATTATTATTATGTCACAAGAAAGTTCATTTTGTCGATAGTGTACTTTTCATACTTTGTGTAGAAATAATTGAAAACAAAAAATTAGAAACACAATAAGAATTAAATCAAATGGTAAAGTAAATCCTGTTTTTTTTTCTTTTCTTTTCTTTTTCTGCTATGACTTATTTGAAATCAGATTTGCGGATTGATAACGTCTGATTGATGGTTGATAATGTACGCAAGGTTGTGGCGCGATCTTCTGAAGAAGCCTCCAAGCTTCTTTCCACGGCTTTCCAGTGAATAACCGACCTTGGATCTTGCCGGAAGTTTACGGTACTCATTCCGTCGGGTATACCTGTCGAGTATACCGATCGAGAGAGGCCTCGAGAAATATCGGCATCGTCCGTTGAAGGCTATGTTCCTCGCAGTCGGTCAAGTTCAATGTTCAACGGTGGTGTCGTTAAAACGTCGTTAGAGAATGTCTTGAAGAAGGACACGCACATAAGAATATTCATATTCCCGTAACGGGTCTCCTCTTGGGTCGTTCGGCCAATATTTTCATCATACGTCACTTGTATTTCTCGCGCGTGTGACGTCTGAAAGGAAGAAAGCAAGAAGGAAGGAGAAGCAACGAGACAGGAGTCAATCGAAAAGGCTACTGATGATCTGCTTTCGAGTGTGCCACACTTGGATCTCTCGTCTAGCGTTACACGCCGAGCGACGAATTTGCATTAAGCAAAATGACAAATTTGTTTCGCCGAATCTACAAGCAAGTCTGGCGTAAGAGAGGCCGTCTCATTTGCGCGACCATCGCCGACCCACATTATCGAGGCGCCTCGCGTCGGTCCGCTGGATTGGGACTCACGACACGTAGCAGCCTTTTCGGTGGCGATGCGATCCGATTTGAAAAGAGTAACGGCAGGCGGATTCGTCAGGCATGTGCCGGCGTGGACGGTGGCGAGCGTGTTGCGTGTTTATATGGTCCGCGCGTTTGATTTTCTCGGGACGCTCTCCTTTAGCCCGCTCGACGAGGAAGCGCCCGCTTAAACACGAGGTCGCCCGTGATCACCGTTAGATAGCCTACTGATCAACGGGATGCGATATCAACGGTGCCGTGCGCACTCCGCTCCCTTTCGCGCCCGATCGGGAAAATCAGTGAAAGTGTACGTGCCGCAACCGCCGCCGCCACCGCCGCCGCCGCCACCTTCGCCGCCGAACAAAAAAGCACTTCCGCTGTTCCGGAAATAAGTGTGCGACGTGCCATGTCGCGAATCGGTTCACTTTCCTGTGTTACCGCATCTCGCAGCAGCCACTGATCGCGCGATGAGAAGACACGATGTTGGAAATTTGAAAGTTTGCAGCGAACGATGACCCTCTCGATATTCCCGCTATGAAGAGATCGTTTTTAAATCGGTCAGAGAGAGAGAGAGAGAGAGAGAGAGAGAGAGAGAGGATCTGTTGTTAAAGTCTCTGTAGCGACATTGCAATTAGCATTCAGCTGGAACACGCTGTCTTTAATGTACAATGCTCTTTGCTTTCTGTTTCTTGTTCTCTGTCTTTTCCTGGCTTAAGTCTTAATTCTAATCTACAATGCTCTTGCTTCCTGTTTTTTATTCTTTATCTTTTTCTAACTAAAGGCTCAAGATTTAAATAAAAAAAGAGATAAAGAGAAAGAAGCAGGAAACAAAGAGCACATTGTAGATCAAGCTTTAAGGTCAGAAAGAGATAGAGAGAAAGAAACAGCAAGCAAAGAATTGTGGATAAAGCTTAAGTCGGCATCTGTGTCGAACAGAAACGTATGGACTAAAATACACCCAATTATTGACATTCTCCTTAGGCCTGATTTCACACTTTAACTGAGGTTCTTTACTTTAACTGGGATGCGTTAAAAGCCTATCCAGACAAACTTGCATTATCACATACGCATAAGGAAATCAACTGTGCGGTAAGAGAATGCCTCTTGTATTAGACGCGTTTTACATTAGTTAATATTCTTGTACATATGAACAATGTGATTATGCAAAGCTTGTCTGAGTAGGCCTTTAACGAATTAAACTTCGGTCGAAGTAAGTTATGGAACTAGGTCTTTGTCGTTAACACTCTAGAGAAACTTTGGTTTTTCCTGTGACCAGAATTGCAATTGAACTTTCTGCCTACATAATACAATTCCAAAAAAAATTAACAACTAGAACTGCGAACAAATGTGCCGTTAGTCGTGAGGAGAACAAGTTGTTCTATAGAAGGCAATTAAAATAACTGTATTAAAACCTTATATCCCCATCAACTAGAACTTTTTTCAATGCGTGAACCGAAATTCCTCATTCCACTAGTTTACGAGTAATTAAAAGTTGGAAGTTGAAAATGGCTTCAGTGTGATAGATTAGATTTAAATTTTTATGTAGTTTGCTTTGATTATCTCAAAGTCAAACTGTTTGGGACTATAAAATAGCCGAAATATCGTTAACATCAGCACGTGCACGATGCTTTGCTCATTTATGCATTTATGTTGTCTTTCGCACCTTTCATAATTTATGTTATTCTCCCTTTCTTTCTTGCGCTCCCAGGAATTTTTCCCAGAGCACATAATAAATCTATCTGTCCGATTTTATCCGAAGAAGAAAGGAAATCATTAAGATGAGTCAACAACCAGCAACAAGGAAAGATTAAGATTACGGCAGATTACTCTTATCCCGAAATGAGCGAAACGTTGGAAACAATTTGACAAGAAACGCGGCTCCGACCCGGAAGTCCAAGCAAACATTATTCCACGCCGCGAGAGCATCACAGATATCAAACGATCAAGGCATAAATAATTGATCACATTGAAATCTAGCGCACTGTCGGAATTGATTTAGACGATTCCCGCTATTTTCTATCCGTTTTTCAATATTAGCTCAGCCAATATTAGCCGAGAGAGAGTACGCCGTCCGTTCTCCGCGCACGTATTTCCGCGCACGTCTTTAGCGCGTTTCCGTTTGCTCGCTCCTCCATATCGGAAATCGTACAAAAGCCCAAAGAGCCATTTCTCCATCTCGCCTTTGGCAGTTGACGTAACGGAGATTGCACAGAGCGCTCCTATGCGTGCGTAATACCGGGGCGACGCGCAGCGTGCAATCTGTTCCGTCAGAGATGGCGCGATAACATTGTATTTGCATGTCTCTAATTTGCAAAGTGGAAGGTGGGTAAGTGGGTGAGCTCCGTCGGTCGCTCGTCATTGACCAACACAGAGAAGTTGCGACTGATGTTCCGACAGCGGCGACAGTTGGCTTTCATGACATTTCCTCTATTCTTGATCACGCAACACCTCTATCACGTATGCTAATGCTTATTATAGTAATTATTTCTTTGCGGGAACACAATTTACAAATCCAAAAAATTTCTTTTCAAAATGTGTGTTATAGGTGCGCGAATTAATTCGATGCTTTTACATTTGATCGATCACAATTCCTCTTTAAATTCATATATCTTGCCGCCGTTAAATGCGTTCTGAAGTGTTGACCTTAAGGTTTAAAATGGACTATATAGCTTGGCGAAGCTGACAATGTAAATTCACAAAATCAAGTCAGTGATAACATCCGACAAGCAGCATATCAGATATTGCATTCTTTTGTTTTCGAATTGAAAAAAAAAAATGTTACTAAGGCTGCAAATATGATTTGCTCAACTCTCTCTTTCTTTGGGCGAAGATGTAAAACCTATAGAAAACATAAACCTGGAAAAAATGATACCAAAAATTTCGGAATGGTGATGTCTTATGTCGTCTTGAGGTCGCAAAAGGAACGAAGGACACGTCAGACTTTATTCGTCAGGCTGGGAAATTCTCTCTTATACAGCTTATTTACTGGATCTAGTCCCTTCGAATTACCATCTACTCCGATATGATTAACATTTTGAATTAATATTATAATTAATATTTTAAGCATTGACGTATTTATTATTTCTCTAAATAAAGGATTTCAATTTCTTCAGGAAAAAAAACATTACGCACCTAATATACAACAAAAGCCTTATGACTTACTTATTTTTGGCTATATTATACGTGATCTCAAGGTTTCTGTACCATCAAACTTTAATCACGAACAGAAAAAAAGATTCAGCTTAACTAACCTTCACAAAATAATTTTCATAAAATATATATAAAACAAACAAATATATACAAAACAAATTATGTATA